ACCAATTGAGAGTTTATTCCGTCTTACACTCTATAAAGTTTATTTCTCATTTAAAAGTGTTTCCTTTTCAGTTTCCCCTTTAAAATTACACACATTAAGACTGTATTTAGCTCAGCTTGAATTGTCAAGTTATCATAAAATTTGCCACAACTGTTTCATTTTCCAATTCACTAGAATTCAGTCTAGTTTATATCAAAGTTAAAAAAAAAGAAACAAAAAGTTATTGTGGGTTTGGTCTTTGTACAAAATTGAAAAAAAAGTCCCAACTGAGCTTCAGAGATTGTAAACAATGTCTTCATTAGTATCTACTTGTAGTATATGTAAAAAACCTACGAGGAAGGAATCTCATCCCATAAATGATGCTAAAGAGTGATGGGACGAACATGCCAAGCCTGTAGGAATACCACTATCCACCTTCGATGTTCAGCATCGAAATGCTCAACTCCCCTGTACAAGCTGAAACATTTAAAGCCATTATCAAAGTAAGCAGATGGTTTGCCCCCTGAAGCTAAGAAAACTTTCTTGGAAAATGAGTTTGGCAGTGTGGCCCTCATAAGCAGTCCGAGGTGCTGTGGTGCATGTTATGTAAGGTTGCACAGGATGTCATCCAGCGTAAACAAAAGTGTTCCACAGCCCCTGTCTGCAAACAATTCTACACGACGAAAACTATACATCATTTTTTGTCTCGTTATTTAGCAACAAAATGGGGGAAGGGGGGCGCTTACTTTAAATTTTAAATCCTTATTCGAGGATTTATGGTATTTTATTTCACAAGATGGCTTGAGTACTTTTGTTTGAGTTTCACACGAACTCTCCGAGGTTAACAAATTTGGAATATGAGACATTTGGTTGGTTTGTTGTATTTGGACGGGTTTTGACGGCTTACCGCTTCCTTTGAAAACTTAACTCGCAATGAAATTGTTAATAGATTTGTATTAGGAAAAAAGATGTCAATGCCTTTTCCTGTTCTAGTTGACTTGAAAATTGTCTTTGGTGATCCGTTTTTTTCCTACCTGATGCTCAATAAACTCGAGGCAGCAGACCTTGTAACTATAAAATCCGGCATTTTATTGCGCATATTAGATTCGATCACTCTTTTCTTTTCGAGTCAGCTTTTACATCTTTTACACTTGGAAAATTTGAGCTTTCACAACTGAGCTAAGTTTTTGGGCCACGTGTTAATTTTCCCTTATTTTATCGTCATCTTTGTCATGCGTTTCATACATGAGTACCTGGCTCGGATACCGAGGACAACCTCTTCCCACCCATGACATTAATAAATTGATTGATTGATTGATTGATTGATTTACTCGTAATAGTAAGTTCACTAATGAGCAACAACAACAACAACAACAAGGTAGTGAACAGTCATGAGTTCAAAATAGTGTATAATATAACCAGCATGGAGTTCGAAGTTGCTAAAATCAGCAGTTGGATGTCACGCCAGGCAATTGAAAGTGGCAATCATCAATGCAATGAATGGTCTTCACTCTTTTCGTGAAATGCCTACACATTATCATTTTTTATAAGAATATATTTTTTTAGGCTGAAATTTGTGAAATTTTAAGAATATATGAGGAATAAACCCGAGGCTGAAATTTTGAAAAGAATATAATTTTGTCTTGAAAGTTTGTTAATACAATACGATTATAGTTTGAAACAACACCGTATAAAATTATTCTTTTCTCTAATCGGAAAAACTAGCCAAATAGCAACGACAGCAGCACCAGCCGTATGTTTGTTGCTAATGACATATTTGCAAGACGTTGTGTACGTCATATCGGGCTTTCATGACTGCAGACTGGCTCCAAAATTCAAGTACTGTGAAAAAACAATATTATTAAAAAAGAGAGATGGTATTTGATTTTCATGGATTGCAAAAGGCCCATTCTACTTACATTTAAAGTGCTACACAACCAAGCCCCTACGTATCTGATTGACTGACTTACTCACTATCATCCCTCGACATTACTTAGTTCATCTGCCAAAAACTTGCTTTGGAATCCAACCTATAATATTAAAATTTATGGTGGGAGTTCTTTTGCCGTTGCTGTGCCGTTGCTGTGGAATCCTCTACCCCAATCTGTCATCACTTGTTATTTTTAAACGTAGACTCGAAAAGCTGCTTTATTTGAGTTTTATTAGGGTTTTAACTTTTTTTTATTTTGGTCAATGTTAGAAAGTTATGTTAAGTTTTTAGTTCAGTTTTTAGCGAATTTTTAAATCTGGAAAGCGCTGTTGAACCAACAGAAAACAGCGCTATATAAGTGCCTTATTATTATTATTATTATTATTATTATTATTATTATTATTATTATTATTTTAGGGAAAAATTATTGTTATTGTTATTATTTTTATTTTAGGGAAAAACTTAAGGAACAACAGAATTTCTGAATTTTTTTTTACCAGATTCATGTAAGATTCAAGTTTGTATGAAAAAGTACTCAATAAAGTTTGTTTATCATGCCTTCTGATTTATTATTATTATTATCATTATTATTATTATTATGATCATTATTATTATTGTCATTCTTTTATACCGGATTTCTGCTGATCTAAGGAACCATGAACAATAATTTTAAAACAAATTTAATATGAAAACAAGATATTCGATGATGTAAATTGCTACTTTTATTTTTAGATTTTTGACATTCTCTTAACGAGTTATCTACTTTATATTATTTTGCATATTAAACGTGTTGGATAATAAATTATTATTATTTATCGTTATATTATTAATATTATTATTGTTATTATTTTATTCTCCGCGAAACTTACTGAATACTTTGCCTTACACATTAAAATAATTTAAAATATATTGCCGCCATTACAAAAGAACCTATCGCTAGGTTGCTGCCTTATAATATATATAATAAGCCATGCCATCGTGAAACATGGTTTATTTCCGAAGTCATAATGAAATTCAGTTGGGTCGCTTATGCCCTTAAAGAAATAAAACAAAAGCTACAAGTTTGAATAGAAGCAATAACTCCATCACATGGTGAATGCATGTCGTCCGCAGCTGACCAAATAATAGTCGTGAAAGAAGAAAACCAAATGTATGTATCGCTAACATCTAACGCAACTGCGTGTCATGTATCTTTTCAGTTTTATTTGTATTTATCTCTCGAGATTTTGTTTCAAGACCAGTTTATTACGGTTTCGTTCGAATTATCATTGATTTTCGTTAAGAAACGAGCACTGTTTAGGAGTATGGTGCCAACAACAACAACAACAAAACAACAGCAACCACCTTTATTAAACACGATTTGGTTTAAGGCAACATATTTACTTGAAGGGTCGTGTATTTAGTTAAAAGTTTATGAGTAACAGAAATAGGTACAGTAATAATGATAATCATATACGTATTCATTCACATTAACAAAACTTAAAATGTGTTAATTTGCTTTTGAATCGAGGACGCATTAAAGTCTAATTGTTTAATAAAAACGTCTTTTCTACCTTTGGCATAGAATTGCGTAAATTTATCAGTATAGTACCTGGATGCAGTGTTCCGAAGTACAGCATGGTGTAAGGGCGAATATATAATTGATATATAATAACTACATGGCAAACTGCGGATCTCAAGATAACAAGGAAAATTGTGATGGGTTCCCTTGCAATACGAACCGTTAAGATGGACCGCTAACGAAGAAGTTTCGGCGAAATTCAACTTCTCCCTCAAAACATTGCGCTCCCCCAAGATAAATTAAAATGTTTAGACAGGATGCCACATCAGCCTTAGCTGGTTTTCACCAGGGTCCTCTGTCCTGATTGAATTGGAATTTGGAGGGCTGGTTTTTCAAGAGGAAAGAGAACCGGAGTAGCGCTATAGCCGAAGAGAAACCCTCGGAGCAACGAGAGAACCAACAACAAACTCAACCCACCTATGAGACAGGTGGGAGGCGAGGGCTCTAGCAACTGCGCCAGCCCTGGTCCCCATATTCATTTGTGGCAAATAATTAGAAAATTAAAATCCTCTTTAGCAAAACTTTCCCAAAACAGATCTCGTACAAGTTCAAGAAACATTTATATATATTCATACGACAGTCGATCGTACGTATGTTTTGAATATAATACGGAATTAAGCGAAAAGATGTCTAATTTCATTTACATATTACACCAAACAAGCACTTCCATTTTCCCCAAAGTTTAAGTTTCCTCCTCTTGAACTTAAAAAAAAAAATTTTCGTAATCACACGGGCAAGTTCTGTTTTAAATAAAAGTACACAATTGGCAACTTCTTATGTTCAAAGCATTAAAGCTTTCCTGCTATCTTGACCATCGTAAAATTTAAGAATCGATATGACGCTCCTGAGAAAAATGCGTAACATACAGATCAAAGGTTTAATCGCAATGGTTGCAGATTATGACAATTGTTTGTTATAGAGACAGTTCTTGATTAAAACATTCGTCCGAAATGAATTAATGCATAGTACATTACTCAGTAAGCTCGATAACGTCTGTTTGTATTGAGCCTTGCCTACATTTGAGGCAAGAAGAGCTGCATTTGAACCGGTTTAACATTTCTTTCAGTGCCTTAGAAAAATTTGTGCTGGACACAAAGAGAATAACTGGATTAATTGCCGTGCCTAATGATGGAAAGATGTAGAAAAAGAACCCCGCAATTCGCAGACATGAATCTTTGGTATACACTGGTGGAAAAACCATTTTCAATAATACATAGACACACAGTGGAGTCCAGCAGAGGAAAAATACTATCACAATAGATATGAAGACTCTCATGACAGTCAAATTCTGTTGACGATTTCTAATTGTGGTGCTTTCCTGTGCTTCGCACGTTGTCGGTCTTGAGTGTCTCAGACATTTCATGATTCTGGTGTAAAGTACAGTTATTGTTATCAGCGGCCCACAGTAGAACAGTACAAATCCAATGGGAGTGTATATGGAGAGTTCCTTTTTACCCCATGCAAATCTGCAGAACATCTGTTCACCCTGTTGAACGATTTTTGAAAAGGGTATAAAAGGGATAGCAACCAATAGTGAAATGATCCACGTGAGTATTAGTAAAACAGCTCGCAATCGTTTTGTGAATTTTTTAACCTGAAATGGATGCACAATGGCGATGAACCTTTCGACGACAATCAACACAAGGCTCACAATTGAAACCAACTGAGAAACAGACCTGGAATATTGTCCCAGTTTGCACACTACCGTAGCCATTGGTTCGTCAATCAGGTGTTTCTTTGAAAGCATCCCTTCAGTAGCGTACAGCGGCCAGATAGTCAAGGAGGAAAATAAATCGGAAACTGCCATGTTGACGATGAAGTAGTTTGGGCACGTTCTGAGAGTGGCGTTCTTGAAAAAGGCTATGGTAACCAAAATGTTACCGACAAACGCCGAAAAACTGACAAAGGTAATAACTGCTGTAAGCGTTGATGTGACGATTTGGAAACACTTTGGGCGACCGTCAAGAGCGTCGAAACTAGCGTTGTTGTCCATGATCAGATTTCAATAAAACGTGATGTCTGTTCTATTTCAAATAATCTCGGAGAACGCCTTGAAGAATTGCTCACGTCACCGCACGTCACTGACGTCAAAATTGGCAAACTCTGAAAGTAAATATATCTTATTAGATGTGTTGGCCCGGCTACGGGCTCGTCAAAATACGGCACAACTCGTACAAACATATACCGATATCACACATCAAAACATCTAATAAGAGATTTATTGTTCAACTTCTCTAGTCAATAAATCTGCCAGCGAAATAGGGAGAATTCGACAGGTTTCGTGACGTGCGCTGACCCGTCAAGCAGCTTTTCTACTGTACAAATAGCTACAATATCGCTGCATCATGATTTGTACTTGATATTTGTTGCAGTTCGATAATAAATAGGTTTTATAGCTACTCTTCTGAAAATTAATTATCTTTTTCCAAAAGGTTGAGCACTGTTGATTAATAAAAAGCCACAACAAAAGTACTAAAATTATCTTTTACACATGTCGTGGACAAAAGAAAACATACTCATTTAGTTGTGCAGAGCTTAATATGTGATCGAATTTTGCCTGCCGTACCCAGGCATCGCAAGCATTTGCAAATAATCAAAATAATAATAATAATAATAATAATAATAATAATAATAATAATAAAATCAAAATATCGAAAAAAAAAAAAGCTCCGAAGGGTATTTTCTTGATTTTTATCAATCATCCTTAAGTTTTAGCTAGTTTGAAACGCGTTTAGTATATATTTAGCATTCATATATACCTGTCGCTTCTTTGTTTTTTTTTTGTTTGTTTGTTCCTTTGTTGAACATCAGCTGAACATGCTTGCCGTGCGAAATACAATTTCTGACCTAATGACAAACTGAGAAGCAATGATCAATTCAGTAGAGGAAGGAAATCGCTCCTTATTTTAAAATCGGTTCTTATAGCAGCCCCCGCAAGCGATCCGTTAATTCATGCCATTGTCATGACAGAAAGGATATCACTTGTGCAATATCATGTTAGTTTCCACGTTCTAGCTTTTAAATAGAAATTCGCTAGAAGCAAGAACAAATCATTTCACTGATATTTTGGAAAATACAATCAAACTGAAATCAAAATTCCATTAAGTTGAATATCAGTACGCCACTGTTTTCTTGCTACGAAAAAAGAAAAAAGAAAAAAAAAATCGACCGTGAAGATGTCATATCACGAATATCAATTTTGGTATGCCCGTCATCAAATGCTAAATTCTCTTGAATGGTTGATTCCAGTTTCAAGGTAATGAAGGGCTGTTAGGCAAAACGTTTTACAATCTTGAAGGTCTTAATCTGGACTATAAGTAATATAAGGTCGTTCAAAAGCGTACATTCAAATGAAGGGAGAATTATTGATACGAAAAACCTTTACATCATAATTCATTGCTATGGGTGCGCCGATATCAATCAAAGCTATTCTTTTTAACGAAAAGCTTAGTCAATATTGTAGATAAATATTGTGACAAAACTTTGTGTAATTTTGTATATGTACGGTCAATCAATCAATCAATCAATCAATCAATCAATCAATCAATCTATATTAAAACACGAAATATTATCATAAAAATGGTCTCCCTGGGAGTCGTGTGAAAAATTACAAAAAGTGAATTAACTATATTAACAGGAAAACATCAACTAACTAACATTACATTATATTACATTAACTAACGAACTATTTAACTAGCGTACAATAAAATCCAGTGTAACAAAACTTTCTTTAATTTATAGTGCACTAAAAATAAACTTTCCCATTCAGTGAGGTTTTAAACACTTCTAAACTAGGCAGGTGTCTGATTTCCGAGGGAATCTTGTTCCACAGAACAGATCCTCTGTAGTACAGGTTTCCTTCTGCACATTCAGTTCTTGGTCTGAGGACATAGCAATTTTCTAACCATGAAGCAGCTTGCCCGACCAAGCTCAAACGGGAGGTGACAGTCGTTCATATTAACGTTGGGATAACATCTCTTTGAAAAATCCAAACCAGTCACATAATATGTATGAGCATTTCAGTTTGGAGTGAAGAAGGAGTTCCTGGGTGAAATATGGAGAGCAATCTATAGCATCTTTTTCATATTACGTAACGGCAGTCACGTTGGTATCGTAAGGCAATCTTGTGAGCTTTGAACTCTTTGCTTTTGTTCCGTTCTATGTACCCCAGTAAAAAATGGATTTATAACTGACGTTCGAATTTCGCTATTATCTAGATCAGTTAAGCTACGCTTTTCACGGCCTCTCTGTTTTTCAACGCACGCCAAAGAAAAAGCGAGCGAAGCAAGCCTGATCATGAAGTACGTGGGGGTGAAAGCGGGAAGGTGAGCGAAGCGAGCCAAACGAAGAACCCCGTCTAGTTTCCCGTTTGACGCTGGCATCCAGTTCTCTGGCGATTCTATTCGCGCGTTCAACGATCGAATGAAAATACGAGAAAATAGAGCGCCGTGAACAGTGTACTGTTAAGTAGGCTAATCGGTCTAAAAACCTGCACAAACCAAATATGTAATGCTAGGGATGAAATCGAAAAGGAAATACGAAAAATAAGCCTTATACGTAGAACTTGGTCATTTCACGTTGTTTTTTTGCAGAGGACGGCTGCGATATGTACAAGGATTTATAACACACGTGCATAGCGAATGTGCTGCTCATTAAACCTTTTGTTTGGTGACGTTCTCACTGCCGTTGCCAGCGTGATTTGCCCAAGCTCCCTAATATTGACTGAGTGGGAGGGCCGCACGGGAAAATATTTGGCAAAGGTCAGGACGTATTATTCATGTCGACAAAGCTAAGTATTTAACACCAGCTACGGAAACTCGAACCCGTGGATCTCATAACTTTGCAAAACAAAAAAGGAAAAAAAAAATGATACATGAGTTACACGTACGTTAAATGCAAGGTTATTGAATGTCCAAACAATGGCGTGGTGTATAAACAAATATGATTTTTCTTGTGATGAATGCTACAGCTGATAAAGCGTCGTCGACATAGTCCTGAAAGAAAGCTTTGGAATATGGTTTCACTTAACTTGGTCTGGCAGGCATTTTAAGTTTTTTTGTTTGAACATGTGCAGCGAGCTACGGTTAATTTTCAAGGTGAAAGTTTAACTTTTTCTCAAGAATTGGTTGAATGGGATGTACATATTGTGATAGTACCTAAATTTAAACAATACTACAGCCTGTTTTTGTGCCTACTTCTTTGATGTGTTTCAGGATATTACACGGCAGACCGAAGATTTGAATTTTTATTTTCAGGTGGTAAAAATAATATTGTCGAGGAAAAGGTTGTTGTTATTCATCGTGGTAGATGCAATAATAA